AGAGAAGGGGAAAGATTAGTAATAGAGAAAACGACTGTGAGTCGCCGAAAAAGTCTGGTTGTTCTATAAGAAACAAACTAAGCTGTTTAATCAGTAGATAGAACCCAAACTGTTCACTGTCAACTGAGTGAACTACCAATAAATAAACGACCAGTAACTCATGCAAGTCAAATACGGTGTTTAGCGGCAAATCAATCCTCACTGCTCAGTTTACAACTGGTAACCACAGAGACCTTGGAAACCGACTCAAGCTGCATTGGTGACGCAGCTAAATTAAATGCATTGATTCGATTTATACGGGTACAGATCAACACAATCACCTCACAATCATTCCCGATACTCCACATAAACACACTCACAGCCTCAATTCAAATTCCACAATGCTGTTAAGCTCACTCTCTTTAAAGGAGACGCAAACCTCACAAACAAAGACGAGTACCTGATTGGTTGGTGAAGTTGTCGAACGAATCTCACGAAGACAGACTCAGACACTTGGGATTATATTTGCAGAGTTATAATGGAACAAGAGGTGATCTGATAATGACATTCAACTTAATATGTTCGTCAAGTTACTCTAAAGCAAACTTTGGGAAGATTCGAGAAATCTAGAACAAGCTGATAGAAACTAAAAATATCGAGACAACTACCGAGGATATTAAGGCACACACTGAGTACACAGAAACAAACAAACAAGTGAAGAGTAGCATCAGGACCGACAAGCAGAAATACATGGAAGAGCTTTCATTGACACCGGAGAAAGCTGCAAGAGAAGGAAATATGAAAAAACAATATGACACAGCAAGGAAACTGGCAGAGAACTATGGTAAACCAGACTAGACTTGTCAAGAATGAAGAAAGCGAGCCATTCACTGAGATTCGAGAACAGAGGAACACGTGAGCAAGACACTTTGAATATATCCGGCCGAAACACTGAAGTCAGACATAGAAAAACTGCAAGTATGCTTCACATCCTATTCAGGGTGATTCAAGAGGAAGAACAAGTGCTGACGGACTAGAAAGAATGATATCTCATCAATATATCAAAGAAAGGAAGTTTGAGCAAATGTGAGAACTTCAGAGGCATCAAACAATAATCAGTACGAAGAATGGTCTTCAACAGTGTTGTTGAACCGAGTGAAAGACTTAGTAGACATCAGACTTCGAGGTCAACAAGATGGATTCCGCAAGTATAAACTGTATACAGACCAGATTGTAACACTACGGATCATCAATGAACAATCAAGTGAATGGATCTCGTCACCATACATCAACTTCATTGACAAGAAGAAAATATTTGACAGTGTGGATAGGAGGACCTTATGGAGCCTTCTTCAACACTATCGTGTGCTTGAAAAGATCATCAATATCATACGGAGTTTCTACAACGGACTACACTGCGGAGTGATGCATGGAAGACAGCTGACAGACACAATCCAAGTGACGACTGGAATCAGACAAGGCTGTCTACTCCCTCACTTCTCTTTCTTCTGATGGTTGATCGCATTATGAAAACCTCGTCATCTGACGGGAAACACGGAATACCCTGGACAGTCTAGATGCCACTGGACGATTTGTACTTCACAGATGACCTGGCCCTTCTATTCCATACGTATCAAGAAATGAAGGTCAAGACAGCCAGTGAAGTAGCAGCATCTGAATCACTAGGCCTCAACATACAGAAGGGAAAAACCAAGTTTCTGAAATACAACACAGAGACCAGCAACCCAACCACACTTGATGGAAAAACTCTGGAAGAAGTGGTAAGTTCCTCTTATCTGTGTAGCATCATTGTCGATGAAAGTGGAGGATCTGATGCAGACGTGAATGCAAGGATTGGCAAAGCCCTGACAGCATTCCTACTGCTGAAGAACATATGGAACTCAAAACAACTGCCAACCAATGTTAAAATCAGAATCTTCAATACGAATGTCAAAAGGGTTCTACTGTATGAAACTGAAACTTGGAGCACTACTAGAACCATCATGAAGAATGTGCAGGCATTTATGAACAACTGTCTAGGCAAGATACTCAATGTCCGTCGGCCGGATTCCATCAGAAGAGAACAAACTAACTTCGAGATGAATAGGAAATTAGGCTCTGAAGATGGATAGGGGACACAGTGCGAAAATCATCAAACCGCAATAATAGGCAAGCGCTAACTTGAAATTTATTAATGCAAGAATATTATTCTCCAGTTTTTAGATGGGTTACGTGTCTTCTTTACAAATGTTAATGTTGAACTCTACAAAAGTATCGACTATAATAATATTATGAATTGTACATTTAATCACTTGTAAAGTTGTTTTTTAATAATTCGACCTTTGAAGCTGAACATACAATAACTGATAAGAGTTACATTCACCGTTTAGTGCTTGCGGAAGGTCAGCAGTGTTGATCTCGGAAACGCTTAATCGAGGTCGTTTGCTTCGGTCATAAAGACGTGGTCGCCCTACTTATCATCTTGGTTATTATATCAGATATATTGTCCCATCTCTAGTTTAAATGTGTTCTTCAAAGTTTATCACAGCAAAACCTTTTAGTGTCACGACAGGACTAGTCAGTATAGACAATTATATGACTTCAACATAGGATCTAATATATTAGGTATTTATGCCATGGAAAGTCCATAATATTGGATTAGGTCTACTGTTCTTGTAGCGTAGATCAATCCACTAAAACAGACCTAGACCTAAATACTACATGGTCCACTACAATTCGTTTAGGAAATTATATTTCCATCAATAAAAACATCGTTAACAAGAGTATTCAAAATTATATACCTAACTACTTGTTACAACAATTAGTCTTTCCATTCCAGGAAATGTACTTCAATCCACAATTTAAAAATTAACAATTCTAAACAGTTCATGAAGTACCTTCAGAAGCAACGTAGATATAGTTCGTAAAAATTATATAAATTCAGTAGAAACGTAAGAAAGTCAGAAAATACGATAAAAAAACTGATATTCGTCCTAACCAGAATCACTGGAATTTACAGATGAGATCAAGAAAAACTGCTTCACAAATAAAATTAAAGCACCGAGTTAAAATACAATATGTACATGGAGGAGCTTTTATTCACACTCACATTCAGCTTTCAAAAAGCGATATTAAAACGACTCTATTCTAGAAATATATATTCATCACTATTGAAGAGATACAGTTTATCATGATTAATTCACTTAGTTCATTTTGAATATTATCGACAATAGCCAGTGTATCATCTAATTCATATTTTACATGAATAGCTATTTTCTAGGCAATGCATACGGTTTGTAGTCTTGATGAATAGGGTTCAAATTAATTACCTAGCATAATGGATAGATGGGCTGGTATTATCTTAAGCATTTAAAACTGTTCCATAATATCTCCGTGTCGGGTCAGAAAACGCAGGTTGGTTGTAGTAGGCTGACATGAAGTTCTTCGCGCTCTAGTTACTTTTCGATCTTCTGCGGATGGGAAGAGAGGATAGCAATAAAATCCTAACACTTTGGGTCTCTCTGAGCCGAAGAGTTCCTCCAAGTCCCAACACAAATTGTCAGTCAGAATATATTATTAATCTGTGCACCTTGTCAGCACAACCCTAATTAATTCAAAGCTTCTTCGAATGTTCCGATGGCGAGTCACATGTTTTAAGAAAAATTTATTAGATCTAATCCTCAGACATTGGGTTTCTCACATTATTTAACCACCTTCTTTCAATGTTTTTGAATGTGGCGTAAAGCCTCTATTCTACCTCGAGTTGTCGGGATACTTGCATAGTCTGTAGCGATAATAAAACGCATCCATTTAATTTTTAAAGGTGCTTCCATGTTGTTTTGACGTTTCGATGTCAACTAAACACTTCATCTAGATTTTTTGTGATGGCATCCCCATCGATGCTCCCTAACTGTAGTAATAATAACATTACTTAGCACCTCATCATCGAAAGCAAATTATTTGACAAGACTTGAGGAGTGATATACTTAACTAAGTCGCAGAGATCGTGCATCAACGGAAGACGTCAGTTCATAATTTATGGTGTACTGACAAATTTTGCTTTTTATCTGGTAGGCTTCTATTCTTCGTTAGATTGTTTAGTGCTTAATTTGAGCGTAAACAAAGTGACTGTTGGTGTCGTGAATTTACATTAATATTTTATGCCTATCATGTGTTTGTTTTATGAAGCTTCATCAACTCCTTACTTTAACCTTAAAAAAAGTGTTTCATCATTTCACTCAAGCAATCTAACATCTTTTTACGCTGGCTAGCCGTTGTAAACAGAAAGCCTAGAGATGATATCTGAAGTCCTGACTATCATGACTTAGAGGTGTTCAGGTTATAGCACTGTAAATTATTTAGAAATGCTGTCTCTGCTGAGTGTTAGCATCTAATAATCGTAAGTTAAGTGTATAGTATGTGTAGTACTAACATCTTGAAAACTAAAACTATCTGAGTGTAGAAGATTTTTCACTGAGGTATCTGTATAAATACTGACAGTGGGACATCCCTACTCCTCGTTTATTATTCTCTATCCCTTTTGAATCCTGCAATGCCTACTTCAATGTAGTTAACATCAAAGGACAAATACATTTACATAAGCCCTATGATGTTTGACTTGAGATGAAAATATAGACTTTGAAGGTATGCTATTTTAACCTTGATATCTGATCTCACCACAGTATTTGTTCTCCAGTTGCATCTCCCCAGTTATAAGCTAATAATTTTAATTAGAAGCGGCAAATAGCTATTTACACCGTGATCAACTTACAGAAATACTTTGGGTTACTAGTTTGTCAATAATATTTGCTCAGAAGAAAAGTTTTTACAAATTCATAATGTGATACTAATATTTTCCAGCAAATGGTGAAATAATCTGAAAAAGAGAACCTCGTGTTGTTCCTAGATGTATGACCAATCACTGAGGAAGGTAGTTTTCTAGTAAGAAATCAAGAAACATACAAGATAAAACATGGAAGAAAGTCATTGTAAGTTATATATCAGCGACACATTGAAGAACCAATTATAGTCCGATCATGTGTCCGAGTATGTCCTGACCATTCGTATTCATAGATAATTCCAAAATGTTTATGATAGCGATAAAGTTAAATAGTAAAATGTGATTCTTGTCTTATTTGTTTAATATGATATACGATAGCTTCCATAATTGAGAATTGAGCACTTTGTTTGAAGTCGTGGTCGTTTGCGAAGTTATCTCTAAAAAATGGCTGCGAGATACCGAGATGTTGGTACGAAGGTATATATTGGTGACCTCCCTAGAGAGGCATCTGAACGAGAACTAGAACGCATATTCCGGGAGTACGGAAGGTTGCGTAACGTTTGGGTTGCGAGAAATCCACCTGGTTTTGCTTTTGTTGAATTCGAAGATGCTGCAGATGCCAGTGATGCGGTGCGTGAACTCGACGGAACGTAAGTAGACATTTGTCGTTACATTTAATATGTTTAGAGTCATGTGTGGTGTCCGCGCCCGTGTTGAACTGAGCACTGGAAAGTCGCGACAGAAGCCGTGGGTACGTGGAGGTGGTGGTGCTCGTAATGGTGGAGGACGTGACAATGGAGTTGGTTCTCGCCGTATGAAACCGTTTGACCCAACAGATCGGTGTTACGAGTGTGGAGAACGCGGACATTATGCCTACGATTGTCGTCGTCGGAGTGGTGGGCCGGGTGGTCCAAATGGACGCAGCAGGCCTGAAGGCCGAAGAAGGTCGAGGTAATTCATCTTACTCGCATGTCGTCTGGTATCGTCTCGGCTACCATGATACGTTATCAACTGTATCAGTTTTATCATCCAAGTACGGCATCCTTAGACTATATCGACATCCTATCTCGCAGTGTAACAGCTCAGTCAAATGCTGGTGCTCTAAATTCCGTAGCGGTGACTCGTCACTAGCACGCGGAATGTACTATGAAAAGACTGGTCTACATAGGCACTTCATTCAAAAATTGGCATCTTTGACTTCATTGCGGCGGGCATAAACTGCCTTACATCTCGGCATCTGTGAGCCGTCGACATCGTCGTCGTGACTACAGACAGCCTCTATAGTTAACGTCCGTAGAGACCTACAGCTTGTTTTCCTTCATGCCTAAACGTGTAAGTGCCTAGTTTCATAGATTATCAATATGTAACGGTTACCACTGTTTTTTTGTCCTAGCCATCATTTTTAATGTTCTTTTCTTTCAGATCTGTGTCAAACCATAGGAGTTTCTCCCGAAGTCGCAGTCGTTAATGTAAATGAGGTTCGCAGGTTTACAATGCATTTCACTTCAAGTCCAAAAACGTCCAGGTCGCATCATACCGTTTTCTATCCATAATATAATTAATACTCATTACGTCCTTTAGTTTTTTGGATATCGTCTGTTAATTTGTCTTGAAATTCAGAAGTTAGATACTTAGTCTACTTGTAGGAAAACTGAGTCTTTTTGAGGCAAGTAAACAATCTTACGCCTTAGTGGGTTCATCAAATGTTCAGGCTTCAAGCAATAAAGCAGGCTTAATGAGGTCATTATAAAGTACTGGATTGTCCCGCTAGATACTCCGCCAAATCGCCTGTCTCCGTTACGTGGTGTGTAGTGACTCGTCAGTTCCCAGTTGGGTTATAATTCCTAGTGGACATGTACGTGAATGTGATGATGCATAGGTATCGGCGACGGCGTCTGCTGCCAGCGGTGCGTTTGGCAGTTTGGTTTCACATGGTCTGTTCGCGCGTTGATTGCTAATGATGCCTGGTGTGGCGTACTCGTTTCTCCGGGCTGAGAGGACAAACCTGCAACACCATGCAGTGCATAGAGAGTGACCGTGCCAACGCTGAAGGATTCGTCACTACATTACATGGTGAAGTGGATATGAGTTGCGCTAATTCGACCTGACTATCACTCGACAGTTACATTGTCGTCCAGAAACTAGTTCGGACGGCTTCAGGACTGGTATGAGTCACCCACACTTGGTAAGCAGGTCGCACTCATTTCCCTCAAATATTTAGAGGTGACAAGGCTTGGGCGTTCGCCTTAATTATTATATGCGTGTAACATTTTAGTCATTGGTCCTTCACTTTACGATGTGCTGCTGTTGTCTTTTCTATAAAGAATCATGGGTGACAGGTTCTTGTTAAAGGTTCAGAGTAATACCGCTTATTCGTCTTACAATCTCTAAATCCATCTCGAGTGGATTTATTTGGTTGGGTCCGTGCAGGGGTTTCTATTTCGCGTGTCTATTGGGTGAATATGAAGCGTATCTGTCAGGTGAATCCTATAATATGAGAGGGGTTGGAGATGTCCCTGAGACTCCTACCTGCGCTTATTCTCCCAACTGGAAAGCGGGGCATATTTAGTTGCCTTAAGAGTTTGGGCGATGGGTGGCTGTCAAGATTGCAGTGAACCGTTACTTTGTTAGACTTATTAACACTGTATAAGGTAGCGTCGTTAGGGATGGTTTCTGCTCGCTGGGAAGTTCCTAATAATAAGCGGATGGTTTCGTTGTGGGCTGCAGTTCCTAATTATCAGGAACTGTGTCGGACATGGCACCTATCAATGCATAGATTTTAGCCTGTCAAAGTAATTTGCGTGTAATTTCCTTAGGATGCCAATTAATACTGATGTCATCTTGCAACAATTATTGGCAGGCAAATATGTGACTTAGAACTGGAGAACAAGTTGCAAGCAACGCAGGATCTGGCGCTATATGCATCAGTCCAAGTTGCCATACCACTTTAGTACAATGAGATAAGACGTTCAAAACAAATCACAGCAGTAGAAGTAGGAAACACTAGGCAAAGAAAATACAGGACTGAAGACATAGAGGATGCACTTCTGCCAGTGTAAACGATCGTAGGCTGTGTAAATCAAAGTATCTAACAACTGGTTACGGCAGACGGGTGGACCGAAACCAAGTAGCCTGTATCCAACGACATAGCACATAACAGCCAACCACATTTTGGTTTGGCTACTCCTGACTTTGTCTCAACCTACATCCGATAGCATAGACCGTCCAGGTACTTGGTGATTGAGCACATATAACACATACCAACCACCTCATATGATAGAGACTCACCGGTCGGTTTGCTTCGATACCCAGTATCATGTGGCTGAACTCAGAATTCCTCACTTAGCGATCCCTGAATACACGAGAAATGCTTTATAGACACATGTAATCAAATACTAGTGACCTACGGATATCCTCTATCTCTAACACAAGTGTTTCACATGCATAAAGTAGAACAGAGGGAACTGATATGTAGTAAACTCATTTCTTTATTGACAGATGGATACATCGTCTACTTCACAAGTTGGCAAAAGCCGACTGAGTTTTCTAAACTCATTCCAAAATTACATAGTAATATTCTGAAGTGCAAATGTTATCAAACTCAAGCCCTTAACTGAAATCTATTTCATTTGGGGATTTTAACGACTCACTATTATTATTCATTTGGTATTGTTTGGCTTGTATCTTCCCATTGAGGTTTAAGACTGTAATTGATCAGTCTGTTATTGGCATATGTGCATACTGTGCCTATGCCTCGATATTACCTTAATTCACAAGCTATTTGTAAGCAATGATGGATAGTGGCTAGCAGTGGAATGCAGTTTGACGCGCGTTTCCTCCTATTTGGCACTCGTCAGTTGGATATACCTGCATCTCAGAGAGTTGATGTTCACTCTGCGACTTGAACCCAGTACCATTCGCTTCAAACGCCATCGCGTTATCCACTCAGCTACTGGAGTCCTGATAACCAATTGCATGTACAATGAGTTAAATTTCAATTCACTTGGTATTGTTCAGTTTGTATCTTCTCATTTAAGCTTTAAGACTATTATTATATAAATAAATTTTTTTAAGAATTATTACAAATCATGTTTATCTATAAACAAATTTCATTAGATCTTATTACAATTAATTTAAATGAGATTTACAAAACAAGTAAATAAACAAATAAATCACTAGTAAATTAAGTAATAAAAAATTATTAAAAAAAATTATTATCTTTTTTAATTTATAAAAAGTACAAAAGAAACCTGAAATAAGGAGAGAAAGAAAAAAGAAAAGGGGGTTATTGTATTTAAATTCAGATCAATATTAGATTCCTTCCATTTACTTGAGTACGTACACAAATAAAATAATTTTTTATTTATTTAAGAAAAACAAAATTTGTGAGATTACTTGGCGGTTCTTTTCTTTTTTCTTCTTTAAAAAAAATAAAGTAAAACAAAGGTAAACAGTTTTTCTATTGATCATTTGAGAATAAATAAATAAAGAAAGAAAGAAAAAAGAAAAAAAAGAAAACGAAATAAAATAAAAACACACTTATAACAAAAGGAATGAGATTATTCATATATATATAGGTGATAGATCATTGAGATAAAGGAAGGGGAAAAAAGAAAAAAGGTATGTATATTATTTTTATTATTTTTTAAATCATATCCATTAAGATGTGTTAAAATCTTCATTATTATCCCATAAATTTGCTATTTCATATAAATTTTTATAAAAATCATCAAATGATATTGAATAACCAATATGATTTAATGCATTTCTAATTGATTCATCTGTTAACCAACCAGTATAAGGTGTAGTATTTGTACGTGGTATCTGAAATGGATTTTGATCATTATTTAATAGTGTTGATCCTAATAAATTTCTATAATAAGCAGCATTGAATGCATAACCCCCACCATTAGTTAAACGTATTGAACGATTCCAACGATACCATGCATGAATCCAAAAATGTGGATAATATAATGGTGATAAAATTGGTATAAGTATTTGGGTAGATTTATTTATAGTTTGTATAAGTTTAGTATAATCTGATCTATTCTAAAATAAGACAAGAATATGATATAATCAAATCAAATTAAACTTGTAGACAAATAAATACTATTACAACTTAAGTAGACCATTGTTTTCCGTCAATGTTAAACACAATATGAATAGCCTAACACTAGATGTATCGGTTCAATGTTGCCATCACACTATGACAGTACGATGAGATACATGCCAAATTAGTACTGGCATTAATGATAGTAATACAAAGGATTAATTATAGAGAATATGATATTTAGATGGTGGTCGGAGGTAGTCAATAGGAAACATGATCGATAGCATTCGATCTGCACTAATAAGGACTAGACAAGCATGACATTGATCACCACCCAGTGATCAATCAATTGTGATTACATCTCAGTCCTACAGGAGGTTAGTCGCGGCTCGGATAGCTCAGTGGTAACGTCTCTGACTGTGAAGCTGGATGACACGAGATCGAATCCGCCAGGGAGCACCAGTTCCCTCAAGATTACAGGTACACCTGGCTGACGAGTGCCAAGTAGCACAAAACCCGGGTCCAGGGTTTCCTGTTGACTACCTCCAACTACCATCTAAATCTCAATACATAGTGCCCGCAGTGTCGAGTCACCTAAACTGATGGCCACATTGCAACATGATCGATAGCATTCGATCTGCACTAATAAGGACTAGACAAGCATGACATTGATCACCACCCAGTGATCAATCAATTGTGAGAGAATATGATACAACGAGAAACAATTAGTTCGCGGTATACACATCTTAGTATACTTTGAAAATTGAGGTTGAGATGAATTCCAGATAACATTTGAGTCTTAGTCTCGAAATGATTATGAGTCCTGAGTAGCATGAAACATAGGTCCGAATTCTACTGTTATCCATAAACCAAAATATATACTAAAACTTATAAATCCAAACCACTACCAAATGTCATGGTATGGCAGAAAATGGGAAAAGTCCGCTCTTCCTCTCGAAATGCTCTCAGATGGCTACGTGCACACAACCACGATCAGGGAAGTCCTACTCACTGCCTTCAGGTGGCGTGGGTGTTGTTTACGAAATTCGGAAGACGAAAAGCGAATGTCTGGCATATTGACCAGGTTGATGGATCTTCCAGATTCACCTAGGGGAGTTGGAAAACCCTGATTACAAACCAATGGTGCATATAGGCTCCACCATTCTGAAGGAACAAATGACGTATAAACCCTACTGTTGGTCACCAGTTACCATGAGACTGCATTTCCTGACGTCGCTCCACTACTTTGTGGATCAAAACTTTAGGTCAAACGACCCGGGTGTGGCTCCCTAAGAAAACTACCTCCTCTGGTTTGGGAATCCGAGCAGTATCCCAGCCCTTACACAAACAGAATGATTTATGTGGCGCATATCTATTTGGTGCCTCCTTGTACCAATGTGTTTAAATAAATAAACTACCAAACCATCTTCGTCAAGGAGTGCATATGTCAAAAATGAATGATGAAATTGTAGTCCTAAATATCAACAACGGCTGGAAAAATTCCCCGTGAATAATCTGTTAGGTATAATTATAAATAAAAATGTTACCAAAACAATCAAGGCGAGTCAATGCAGACAGAAATAAGTAGTATGTATAACAGGAATTGAAAATAGAATGCATACTAGCAGAAGATTGAAATAAAGAGAAAAGGAACGAAAAGAGAGAGAGAGAGAGCGGTGAGACTATAATTTATGGACGACCGTTGAGCGACACTAAAGTGACCTTGAGAGTGTCCACCTAACACATACGACCAAATGAGGATTATAAACCTGTGTGAGCAATTCGAATTGTGATTTACAGTTTATGGTTAAGGTTAGGAAATATATTTGTAGTTTTCATCACGAACTGACATTAGCTATAATGCTAAGACTCTATTTATCCAAAATGGATGAGTGAACTTTGCGCCGAAATCCGAGACCTGTTATCTTATATCTGATTAGTTCGTCCATAAATTACAGTCTCGCCGAGAGAGCGGTCGGAATAAAAACAGGATTGGAAGAATGATGAAATATGTAAAGGACAACTCAAGGAAGATGTGCAGATGATGTATTTAATATATGATTTTCATATTTTACAAAGGCACTGTATAATTTTGTATAAAATAACAATAAAATTCGTTTTCCCTACCAAGTCTTCGTTCAGAGCAATACTAATAAATGACACAATTTGTGAACAAGTCGACAGAGTGATAACATGATAGGTATTAAAAGTACTCTAACAACTGAACTATTCATTTGATATGGGAAGAGATATTTGTTTTAGCATTCCTACTGTTACTTTCTCAATCGATAATTAATGTGTAAGCAATTAAACTAGTTCATGGAATGTATCATGCAAGATAAACACGTTTAAAAATTGATGGTGTTACATACTATTTACCTACCTGTCTATTATGAGACAAGTCGCAACATGTTGAAAGTCCCGAAGTCAACATCAACTCTGAAATACAGGTACATCCAGCTGACGAGTCCTACCAAGTAGGAAGAAACACACGTCCTGGATTCCACTACTAGCCACTGTCTATCTTTACTTATAAAGATTAGAATTGTTTGCATGATTATTTAATTTACAAAGATAAGCGTAATGGTCGGGTATGGATTTTAGTCGTTTTTCTTTTCTCTGTAACGTTCAATTTGTTGAGGAGATCCAGAAAACTCCCCAAAAAGGCTCTGAAAACACCAAGATGCATCTTATCCAATCAGTGTTCACTAGAAGTTTTGCCAGAAACATCTAGAAATTCAAAAGCCACATGTCGAGCTTCTGATCGGATGATTACTTATACTGCTACTATGTTTAGTAGCATCCCAGATTTTTCGGGAAACCCAAGGGCATCTAAAATACTATGAAAACCCTAGATTTTCTGTACATAAGCGAACCTTTAGAGTAAAGTGTTTCTTACATTTTTGCACCTTTTCTCTCGTGTTCAAATCGGTGTGCAGATCTAGTCTGCGGAGGGGAGGTTACTAGAAGAGCTTAGGAACCAAATCTAGTGTTCAATTAACAAGACCTATCACAATTTTCGAACTGATTGTAGTTTGTATTCATTTGAACCGATAACCTTCATTGATACTGGTAAACTATGGAGATCAACTAATGGTGAATCTGAGACATGTAGATAAATGCCTGTTTTACATTAGCCATTCAAATTCTACTTTAATAAAAATTTTGCTTAATTCACTGAAAATACCTCACCAAAGTAATTTCATGTATACAGAACACACAAGATTGATAAAGAAACTGAATACTTCACACACTTGATAAGTAATACAAAGTTGATAGATTTATACAATAGTTATATAATATACCCTAGTGGGCCAGGGTAATTTTACATTGGTTTTCAGGAGAACCAAACACCATCCAGACTTTCACGTCACAACCCAAACAGTACAGTTCAATTCCGTTTAACAGGAGAGCCAGACACTGCCCAGGCTTAAATTTCATAACCCGAGCAGTACAGCTCAATCCCGCTTCACAAAAGAACCAGACACCGTATAGGCTTTAACTCTACAATCTAAATAGTACAGCTCAATCCTGTGGCGCAACCACACAGGTAGGTACCAAGCACCCTGGTGGACCATTCACGTCATATGTATAATAATTATTCCGATCAATGAACGCTTTAATCAATTGTGCACAGCACGAACACGCTAAAGTTGACCTATTCCGTTTACACAACAGTCAAACTCATTAATGATAGCAATGGAGACATGCCTTACAATATCTCAATGACAATGGCCTTTGAGAACACTGGAAAAAAACAACCACCAGTATGAACGAAATCAGTTAACCAGCAAACCAATTTTTTGTATGATGAACAGTCCAGCAAAACTTGCCAAATCAATGCTGAACCATCCACAATACCAAAGTTTATTTATTTATTTTAACACATAGATATTGGTAAAAGAAGGCACCAAATACATATGCGCCACACAAATCTCATTTGATATGTGTGAGGGCTGTGATACTACCTGGGTGCCCAAACTGAAGCAGGTGGTTTTCTTAGAGGGCCACTCCCCGAGCCTTCGACCTGAAGGTCTAATCCACAAGGCAATGGAGTATCGTAAGGAGATGCAGTCCCATGGGAGCCGGTGACCAATAATTGGTTCATACGACATTTGTTCCTTCAGGATACTGGAGCTTATGTGCACCATCAGTTTGAAATCCGGTTAAAGCGCCGGACATTCGCTTTTCCTCCTCTCATTTTCGTAAACAACACCCTCGCCACAAGAAGGCAGTGAGTAGGACTTCCCTGGCAAAGGCTATATACGCGTGGCCATGTGAGAGCATTTCAAGAGGGAGAGCGGACTCTCTCCATTCTCAGTCGTACCAGGGCATTTGGGGACACAATTTTAACGGCGAATCTCCAGTCTCATATGAGACCTTCAGTTCTACATAACCATATAACTTATAATTGATAGAAAAATAAATTAAATTAAAATGAAATTTATAATAAACACATAATCTAATTGATTTATAAATATGAACATACATTTACAGGATCTGAATTATATTGCCAAAAATATAACCAATTAAATAGTAATTGATATCCATGATCAGTTAAAATATCATTCCAATTATGAAATGAACGCCATGCTCTTATATTATAAAAATAATTTGATTTTTCAATAATTTGTTCTTGTGTCATTGATTTTGTTTTAACATGCCTTGTTGCTTCGCATGAACATGAGAATTCTATAGTGAATGGTGGAGTTCCACCACCTCGACTTAATGCACTGTCTAATAATAAGACCAGATAATCCTAAACATGATAAAAAATTTTAAAAAACAAACAAACGTTTATAAAAACGGGATTAGTTTCATAATGTATAAATGGACCAAGGGAGTAAGTAACTCAGTTGTTAGGAAATGGGTACTAGATAAGGATGGCAAATCAATTGATGAAGTGGTAAAGCTTTATCAGTTGAGATGGCTGAGACACGTGTTACGTATGCCCAACGACCGACTGTCTCGACGTGCGATGTTCAGTGGTATAGGAGTAGGTTGGAAGAAAGTTAGAGGCGGCCAGACCAAAACATGTCACAAATCCATAAAGTCACTGACAAGTGGACTAATCCATGTCGGTAGGTGTAGACTACCTGGTTGGGATCCGCGAGACAATAGCAATCGATGGTTAGAGACCTTGAACGGCATGGCTCAAAATCGTTTGCAATGGCGCAGGTGCATCCACTCTTTGTATTCTCCAAAATTTTAATCTTATGAATTCTTTATGTCCCTTATTTTCTTTCCAAATTTATTTCACTGGATTATACTCCTTGAATAACATCTTGAAACCCTAATCTTTCTGATTACTGCTTATACTTTTACTACCTCTACCGCTATGGAATTTGAGTCGAAAACTGCATCTATGTGCTAATGTGGTATGGCAACTCAAGCTGATGTACGTACTTACGAAGTTCAACGTTGTTACTGACTGACTGTATAAATTCGAAAACACATAAGTAAAATTAAAATTTGAAGATTAGATCATAAGTGTCTTTTAGCTAAGCAACTATTGAAAACCAAGAAGCACTAAGTAATTACTTCGTTCAAGTACGTGGATATCCACGATCCCACTAATAATCGAACCCAGGACCATTAGATATGGAGTTGTGGTGAAAAGCTTTGACTAGTAGAATGCAAACATGTCAGGAGTGAGATAGGTATCATAGACGGGAGTTGTTAATAGTCGAACAATATCACAAGTTGACTAAAATCAGAAATAAGAAGGACTGGGAAGACAACTGAGAGCTAAGATAGGTCTACCATAGAGCTACGGATAGACCCTACTGACACTTTGATGAGACAGCTGTCCTAATTCTCCCTGGTTATTTGGTTTAATTCAGTTCCTGATTTGAGCTATAAATAAAACTAATAAAGTGAGACCCGGTGAAGAAATGGATGATATAGCAAGCTATACATCCTTATTAAGAATCAGTTATTGATTTATCAAATATTATCAGTGTGTATGTAGTATATCTTAAACCAGTTTATTTTATCACAATCCTGCATACGCGTATATTTCGCTCACACGATAGAACCTCCGTCTTTAATTTAAACCAGTATTTCACTGAATTCATATTGTGATGAATGAGAACTTAGATGAGGAAAACCAATTCATTATTGATTAGTGCACAATCACACAGTGGTTTAGTAAAATGTGAAAATCATACATTAAATACATAATTTGTACATCTTCCATCAGTTGTCCTTTACATTCTCTATGATTCTCCTAATTCTGTTTTTACTCCAATCTCTTTCTGTTCTCTTCAATTTAATCTTCGTCTGACAAACATTCCACTTCTGATTGATGTCACATACTACTTATATCTGTCAACATAAGTAGCATAATAACACAATATATAAGCTTTTAGTGTACATTTTTACGTTAAATGTCATATATTCATGTTTAATTTTGATTTCAATTACAACCCTACAGAAGTGCAGGCAACATTGTTGAACGAAACAATGGAATTATTTAAATTTCAGTCCTTACGATTGTATTAAATTTAATTTCTACACATAATGACTTCTTAGAGTTATTACCAACTTTTTACAGTTCTGAACAAATTCCAGTGAGAAACCATGACTAGTAGGGCTAATGGGTGTTAAGTATGAGGCAGTTACCCACTGAAGACAATGAAAGATGATCGCGCAATCTCGTGGATTGGTTGATGTTAGACATTAACACTGTCGGGTGCCGGTTCAGTAGTCTAGAGGTTAGGCGTTCGCGCGCCTGACCAAAGGTCCTGGGTCCGAATCCCGTATGACAGATCAGGGATGCGCAACACTGAGGAGTCCCGTATTAGAACGAAATGGCCGTCCAGTGTTTCCGGGTTTTCAACGGTGGTCTAACATTGATCGATTCATGATCTCAATTAAAAAAAGACAACAGAGATAAGTTCGGAAAAAGTCACATTAACAGTTAATTAAAGACCATTTATGCTACCAAGTTCATTTTTATTTGGCATTGAAATAATTACATAACTTATTAAGAAAATATCCCTTAAGGATATAAATACAATATGAAACTTAAACATGATTTATATTATGTATTAGCATGTATCACGGTAGATTTGGCACTAGAGTTTCTCAACCCTTTAAGTGAATGCTTTTTTGTCAATCTCGATCCGCTTTAAGCGCTGCATATCTATTTACTTTCGCCTTATGATAGGATCACTTGAGCTATGTGAAAGCAGTAAATAAGAATTTCCTGAAAGTAGTTGTAAACAAGTCATTGCGTATTAGAGCAATTCCTACTCTGACTATACTTAGGAAAGTTATCAATCATTTCAAGTCTAGCATACAATATCAAACAATTTTCATTGATTAAATGACTAAATTACTTCACATCTGATACGTGACAGATGAAAAGAATAAACGACAAACTGAATTTACTCATTCTTCAGTTCATAAGTAGATACTTACAGCCTAATTACACAAATGATATTGATACGCTAAGTCAGCCAGATACAGGCTGAAAAATAAATGAGAAATACTGATGAGTGCGCCATTGCAAACGATTTTGAGCCATGCCGTTCAAGGTCTCTAACCATCGATTGCTATTGTCTTGCGGATCTCAACCAGGTAGTCTACACCTACCAACATGGATTAGTCCACTTGTCAGTGACTTTATGGATTTGTGACATGTTTTGGTCTGGCTGCGCCTATCTTTCTCCTAAACTATTACTACACCATGAAACATCGCAATACAATAAGTAATCGACTAGTTAATGATGATAACTTTACGATTTATTCGAATTGTTCTCCTTCTTCTAAATTTCGAATTGTACATGTTTGTGTGTAGTTATTGAGAAAACAAAAATTGTGTCGCGACCAGTCAGGAGGAACTCAAATGCGTAAACACAATTTCAATAAAGTTTCACTGTAATGACTTGTATATTCCACATTGTTGGTAATCAAGAATTGTATTTGATCATTCTCTATTGGTAACTCCGCCTGGAGCCCCTCTGGGGCTACTGCCGGTCCCAAGCCCGGATAAAGGAGGAGGGTTGGGCATAGGAGTAGCGATCCCATCCCGTAGAAAACCAACTCGCTAAGAAATAATTTAAATTCTGTCCTGGGAGTTAGAAGGTCTTCATTTAGTAAGTAATTGTTTATTGGTATATGTGCATTCTCTGACTGCACATCTTGATAATACCTATATAAATATATGTTTTCGATAATAATTCTGAGTTGTGAAGAACAATCAAATCTACGGTAAGCACAATAGTTAGAAAATACACTGAAACAAATTACATTCTGTTAAATAACAATCACTTTAAGAGTGAAGATAAGTAATGTCCGTGAGGATGAAAAAAAAAACACATACCTCTGTAAATGCAAATTCTGTAGGAAATTGGACCAATAATTGATGAACACAGTCGATGAATAATGCGAAACATGCACCATCATCATAATCACAACTAACTGAATCATCATGCCAATCAGTTGGATCGGGGACAAATGGATAACCATAACGAATCCATTCTTGTTCAATTAAATCTTCAAATCCAAGAATTGTTCTGTTCTCTGCAGATAACATTATCTATACATAATAGTATAATTTATATTACGAGAGTTCCTTATAACAAATAACATGAGTATAATTTTAAAATGTAATCATATGCCAATTAGGGCTTAATTTTAACAGGTAATTCTCGGAGGCCTAGTGAGAAACCATTAGTTCAACCACTTCGGGAATGAAACGGTTATCTACTAATGGCAACGGATGGTGATTGAGTAGTATTGAAAATCGGTTGAAATCGTAAGTTCAAACCATATGACGCCAGTTAAGTTCTCGATGTAAGACCCTAGGATTCTGGGCTTGACTGAAGCAGCTTCTCTGTTATAACGCTTATGTGAGCTCATTCTGGCTATTAATCTTGCCAATTATTTTGTGACCTTGTCAATTATATTCATATTCATTTCTATATATGCTTCACTTATAAAACTTATCTACTCGCTAACTGGTTATCTGTAGTGCATACAATTTTATCTTCATGTAAGAATTGACCCACTCATTTGGAGTAAATCCTTATATCTATATTCTCTGTTCTTCGCATGTATGCATGAAATATACACAACCTAAGTATAACTCTTATTCTAATTTTTCACGTTGTTTCGATATGATTGACCGATAAAAAGTACACGACATTAATTAAGCATTTATATTCCATCATCCCATATCGATAACAATTGCAGTTAACAACGGGCACTGAAGTGGTAGGCTTGCTGAAGGGCCACTAATCATTCCTAGTGGAATAATGAATGAGGGTTGATGAGGGATTCCATAGCTAGGATAAACCAGCTAACCAGTGTTATTTTTTGTTTTCACTAGTCTCTTAATTACCAGTAAGTGATAAACAATATTTTTTTGTAATATAAAATCTCAGGAAGACTCTAAGTAGTGCAGTGGTAATGATAACCTTGTTGTTATTAGTAGCTGGTTTTCAGATAGATTAATGAAAATTACCAACTGATGGGCTTCAGTCACGGAGGAAGTCAGACAACTGAGCATACAAGATGATAGATGGTTGAGGTAGAATGAAAAATAACTGGTTGAAAACAAAGGTGAACCATTTGATTGAGACTCAGTAGAGAAAATAGTCAGTCAAGATGTTCTAGAATACTTTTAGGTGTGCACAGGTGGTTGTCACTTCTTGATTCTTCACACGGTGAAACCGTACCTGAAGAAAGTGACCGTCGACCATAAGAGATAACTGCGTAAAGCCAATCACACACGGTCTTTTATGTGAGGACCTATTGATCTGTTAGCTCTGTATTTTAGAGGTCCTACTACAAGAAACGAAAATGTATGGGGAGAGTTGAAGTATGAATTAAATAGACGACCTCTGTGATATGAAAACAGCATCGTTACACATACGAATTGTCTGATGAACATATCTCATAGACATCACACTATGATACAATCAACATCATAATCTTTGCCTTCTGACCACGAGTTCACTGATTTATTGTAACAATTTTCAACCAATCTGCATACCATAGTAAGATTTATTATTATTATTTTATTTTAACACATAGATATTGATACAAGGAGGCACCAAATACATATGCGCCACACAAATCTCATTTGATATGTGTGAGGGCTGTGATACTACCCAGGTGCCCAAACTGAAGCAGGTGGTTTTTTAGAGGGCCACTCCCCGAGCCTTTGACCTGAAGGTCTAATCCACAAGACAGTGGAGCATCGTAAGGAGATGCAGTCCCATGGAAGCCGGTGATCAACCTTTGGTACATACGACATTTGTTCCCTCAGGATACTGGAGCCCATGTGTACCATTGGTTTGGGATCTGGTTAGAGCACCGGACATTCGCTTTTCCTCCTCTCATTTTCGTAAACAACACCCCCACCACGAGAAGGCAGTGAGTAGAACTTCCCTGTCAGAGGCTATATACGCGTGGCCATGTGAGAGCATTTGTAGAGAGAGAGAGCGAACTCTCCCCACTCTCGGTTGTACCAGGGCATTTGGGGACCATAGTAAGATCTAAATGAATAAGTGTTCCAATCAATATAGTTCGACCAATTTATCACGTTAGACGTATTCGATCACTAAATCAAAGTAGTAGCTATGGTTGACCATCTACAAAATCATAGTTTTATAATCATACAGTAAATCAAATAATCAATATTTATTATACATAACCTTACCTGTACAAGACTCATTAAAATCGGTTGCCAATTTCGACCACTATCTGGTCCACTTAATAATATAATTGTTCCATCATAACCATTTACTGGTTTCATTGAATATTGATAAATTAATTGACTTAATTGTGTTGCTTGTTTTAATGTAAACAATAATAAATTTAACCAATTTGTTGATAATAAATAATCATACCAATCAGATCGATGCGGACTACATTGAAATGCGAAATGATCTAATTTCTTTTTATTTAATAAATAAAAATGTGAATAACTTTTACTAAATGATTGACCTATACTATTACGTAGATTATTAGTACTGTTACTTTTATTGTTCGTAGGATTAGTATGATTATTATTATTATTATTACTACTACTATTATCAGTTTTAAGTAAATTAGTAAAACTGAGTTTATGCCAATCAGATCTTGTAGATAAACGTTTATCAATAACTGAATGATCCATTTGTTTTGATTTTGATCTGAATAAAATATCAGAATATTTTTTTTCACGTTCACTACTTAATGAATCGGTTGATAAGGTATCCCAATTCATAAACATTAGATTATCATTACTACTACTAGTATTATTATTATGATTATTAGTATTGATAGTAGAAGTAGTAGTTGCAACATTGATCAATGAATGATGGTCACCAACTACTGAAGAATCATAATCAGTAGTATCATTCATGTTATTATTATTATTATTATAAGTAGTAGTATTTGTAAACTCATTGAAAATCTCTACATTTGGTGTATGAATTTGTGGTAATTGTATAAGATTTTTTAATTGTAACCAAGATTGTTTAATATGATTATGTTTAGGTATTAACCAATTATCATCATGTTGATTTAATTCATATAATTCAGTTATAAATGAAGATGGTATAAAATTGTTCTGTTCTAGAGATTTTACCATATCCTCATTATCATTATTGGTTGGATGATCTGATGTTGTCATGAATGTACAATCATCAGTAGTAGTACTACACCAATCATTAGAATAATCTTCATATAATGGAATATAAAATTCTTGTAAAGTTGATTCAGTTGATTTGACAATATTTTTATCTTTGAATAATTCATTTAAATGATCACTAAATGATAATTTAATATGTTTTAAATATAATTTCTTTTGGTGATTTGATGTTGTTGTTCTTGTTGTTGTTGTTGTTGATAAATGATTATTACAATCAATCAGTTGATTCATATTGATATCAGTTAATAAATTACCAGATCTTAATATCCATACACCGAATCGATTTACTAATGACATTGAAACCGGGGGTGAAGTAGTAGCAGTAGTAGTATTGGTAGCCAAGGAATAAGGTGGATAATATTTATATAAATAAGAATTTTTATTATGAACTAATGAATTTGAATAATAAAATGATAAAATTGGAAATCGATGTCCTTCAAAGTAATCGCGAAATATAATTACCTAGAAAATTAAATACAAAACAAATAAACAAACAACATGAGATGATTACATTACTTATAAGTAATACATTAGTCCATGGGTGGATACAAGCTTAGGTGATTTTTGATAATCAAATAAAATGAAACTCTCCTATTTCAGTAGTTTACTTTACTGTTAAGTAAATCAGCAAAAATTAATGGAATAATTTGTCGTTACCAGTGGAGTTCAACCAGGTCTTTTGTGAGATAGGAACTCACTGAAGACAATGGTGTACGGTAGCGCAACTTCGTGGATTGGTTGAAGTTAGACATTAACATCGTTGGATGCCGGCTCAGTGATCTAATAGTTAAGTGCTCGCGCGCGAAGCCAGTAGGTCCTGGGTTCGAATCACGCGGGGGGGCGGAAAAGTGGATGCGCGCTACTGAGGAGTCCCATACTAGTACGACACGGCCGTCCAGTGCTTCCAGGTTTTCCATGGTGGTCTAGCTTCAATTGACTCATGATTTCAACCAGTGAAATTTTAGGTTTGCTAAAATGTCCGGCACATTGACCAAGTTGGTAGATCCTTCAGACTGAACTAAGGGAGTTGGAAAACCCTGATATCAAACTAATTGGTGCACATGGGCTCCAGAATCCTCAGGAAACAAAAAGCGTATGAAATTATTGTTAGTCACCGGCTACCATGGGACTGCATCTCTTAATGTTGCCCCACTACCTTGTGGATTAGACCTCGAGATCAAAGGCTCGAAAGTGACCTTCTAGGAAAACCACCGGCTTTGGTCTGGGCACACGGGAAATATTCAAGCCCACACACACACATCGAAAGACGAACTGTGGCACATTTGTATTTGGTGTCCCCCCTTGTACCAATGTTTATGTATTTAAATAATAATAATAATAGTAATAAATCCAATTGATCACTTAAGTTTTGAATCTGTGACTTATAGTGTCGGTAAATCTACATAAAATAAAATAGTATTTTCAGTGATCAGTTCATCACATTTGAATCTTGCCAATAATTATTGATTAAACAGAAATTGAGAAGCGATCTGAGAGGAAAATTCTTTTTCTGATTTGTTACACTTTGAGGTAAACGAGTATGAACTTAATACGAAATGTAATACAATGACTAAACGACAAAATAAGTAGTTAGTAAACCTAACCTAAATATTGTATCCAGAGAACATTAAATTGTGGGTAACTTCTGTGAACTATTTGTAGACTATTATTACATATATATATATATATATATATATATATATATATATATATATATATATATATATATATATCTTTTATCATAAGCCTTCAATTGACCTATTGACTATTTATCACACAATTTACTATTTTTAAATTATTCCCAATTTATCAGTTACGGTATCCCATACTCACAGCCATTTTTAGCTTGATACTGTACAGTTTTTATTTTTTTCATTTTATGGTATGTGCTATGGTCTGGTTTGTCTGTATATGAACTACATGTGCCTGAAATATGAGATTTATATAGCGGAGGTTGATATTTATATTTCTATTTTGGACTTGAACGGGTAGGGCTAGGCAAGAAGTCATTAATTTTCAGAACCATTCAGTCAGTCAGTCAGCCACAACGTAGGACCAGGCACATATGTGCATCGGTCCAGGTTGCCATACCTCATTAGCACAACAAGATGAACACCGGATTCATAGGAGTGGTTAGGTCAAAGGTTGCAATAAGGATATAGTATAGGAAGGAAGAATTAGTTCGTAGAAAGACAGATATGAAGTGATTTTAATATCTTAGTTTAAGGGAAGACAGGGAGTGTATACACCGACGCCATTGTGATCGATTCTGAGCCATGTCACCAAGAGTCTCCAACCATTGGTTACGATAGTCACGCGGACCCCCACCAAGTAGTCTGCATCTACCAACATGGCTCTGACTAGAAGTTAGCGACTTCAAGCACTGATGCCACGTTTTGGTTTGGCCACCCCTAACTTTCTTCCAACCATCCCCAGCACCGGTTAGCATTGCACGTCGTAGTAATCGGTGTTCAGGAATACGTAACACGCGGACCAACCATCTCAGTCGATGAAGATTCACAGCCTCATCAACTGATTTACCATCATTCCCTAATACCCTGTGTCTAACCTTACTATTACTTACCCGGTGATCCCAGAAGATGCCAGCAATATTTCTAAGGCATCTGTGGTCAAATACTAGTAGCTTACGAGTGTCTTCTACTCTTAATGGCCATGTTTCGCTGCCGTAAATTAAAACAGAATGGACTGCCGCGCAGTATACTCGTCCTTTTATGGATAGACGGATATCTCGCCTTCGCCATAGGTGACGTAAGTTGGCAAAAGCCAAGCGAGCTTTTCGAATCCGTGCTGAGATTTCGTCAGACACCAACCCATTAGAGCTGATCAGACTTCCAAGATAAGTGAAGTTGTCAACGCGTTCGACTACTTCACTCCCTATCCTTAGTTCAGGTGTTGACGTAGACCAGTCCTGAAGCAACAACTTGCATTTAGAGGGAGAGAAGCGCATCCCAAACATTCTGGCATTGTTGCTTAGTGCTACCAGAAGACTCTGCATTTTGTCAGCGTCTTCACCAAACAGGACTATGTCATCTGCGTATTCTAAGTTGATAAGTGGACCTCCTGGAAGGAGATCAATACCCGAGAATTCAGTCGACGAGAGTGTTATTTCCATCAATAGGTCTATGATGAAGTTAAACAAAAATGGAGAAAGTGGACAGCCTTGACGGACACCACTTGAAGTTGCAAAAGTAGATGACAGTTCGCCATAAGCCCTGACTCGACTAGTAGTGTTCGAGTAAAGAGCCTTCACAATGTTTATGTACTTCTGAGGTACGCCTTTCAATGACAGACACTGCCACAGAGTCTCGCGGTCTACCGAGTCAAATGCTGCTTTTAAGTCAAGAAAGACCACCATCGTCGGACGCCGATAGGTATGCCTGTGTTCTAGAACCTGACGAATGGTGAATATGTGGTCGATGCAGCCACGACCAGGTCTAAAGCCAGCTTGGTTCTCTCGAGTTTGTAGTTCACGAGTCTTAGTTAGGCGTCTGATAATTATCGAGGCCAGTATTTTAGATACTATGTTTGTTAAACTAATCCCTCTGTGGTTGTCACAGGATGATTTTGACCCTTTCTTATATATTGGGACGATAAGTGATTGCGACCAGTCAGATGGGATAAAGTCTAATTCCCAGATCTTAGCTAAAATATTAGTCAACTTAATCGCTAAAATTGGACCACCATCCTTAAAGACCTCTGGGGCCAATCCATCTGGACCAGCTGCCCTTCCTCGTTTCAGATTAACTATAGCCTTTTGAACTTCAGCAAGAGTCGGGGGACCTACTTCAATGTTCCATTCACATTGTCTGGGAATGGAGGGTAGTTGTAGAGTAGCTGAAGGCCAGCTGAAGTGTTCTCTAAAATGTTCCGCCCATCGTTCTAAACGTCTGGACTGGGAGCAGATGAGAGTGGCGATCCTGCTGTAACCTTCTTTTACATTCTTCATAAAAAGTGGTAGCTTCTTCCTTAACTGAAAGATTTCTTCTGATTGTACCTTTCCGTTTCCCCTATTATTACTATTATTATTATTAAACTACCTTACACCAATCTCTTCATTATTGTTCTCTTTTTTTCCTTCTCTTTAAATTCTCATTGTTTTGTGTGGCGCATATATATTTGGCGCCCTCTTTTACCAATATGTGTTCAAATAATAATAATAATTTCAAGAGACACATTCTTAATTCAACTTAACTAATTGTGACCATTAACTAATAAAGACTATCAATAAATCAGTTATTTAGAGATTAAGACGATCTCAGTTGTAAAAGAGTAGTTCTATCCGAGACTACTTGATAAATAAGAATTCTACTTTATGCAACTGTTGTCACCTTTGATCATTCAATTTTTTTAGTACCACTATATACTACTTAAATTTAAAAATTATAACTTATATTTTTTCATTAGAACATAGTTGGAGCATTACCTAGGCGTACATAAATATCAGTCAGTCAGATACCAACGTAGGACCAGGCACATATATACATCGGTCCAAGTTGCCATTCCTCATTAGCACAACAAGATGGAAGCAATTAATTCAGTGGTGGTAATATATAAAAGAAAGATTGCATATAAGGATATAGTACAGGAAGAAAGAATTAGTTCGTCGAAACAAAGATATGAAGCGATGTATACGCCTATACCATTGTGATTGATTCTGAGCCATGTCACTCGGAGTCTCCAACCATTGGTTACGATAGTGGTATATATACATATATAAGTGAATAATAATGATTTGTAGAGCAAAACAATACATAACAAGTAATGTACTTACAGACATTTTAAATGCAAGTGTTGGTATTTCCAATGGTAATGTACGACAATAAGCAAAATCTGTATTATTAATTATTATATAATTTCCTTTTAAACGATGATACCAAGTTGTTTTTAATCTTGTCAGTGAATTAACTGGAGTACACTTGACTGGCTGATAAATGTTTGGTGTATAAGGAGAAGAAGAAGAAGAAAATAAAGCACATATAGATGAGATAAATTACAACATTAAAAACGTAAAATAAACTCTTGTGTTTTCTTTATAACTGATAGAATTGATCAGTTGTGAGGTTTTAGTAACACGGTCATGGGCAGTATCATTTCCCCCAACAAACACACATAAACCTAAATCGATCTCGCTGAACCACATTAGGGATAACCATAGCAATCACATCTGTATCAATAGCAAATTCAGAAGGTCCATCGAAGATGTAAAAATGAAGAGGATGGATGATATGGCTTCAGGTCATCACCTGACGGTGATCAGGATGAAACTGAAGTCATTGAAGTTTAATACAACTTTCCTTCGCGATGCTAAAAAAACACAGCAAACTCAAGATGGCTTTATGCAACAGGTTTCAAGACCGAAAAATTCTACTGTAAGAAATGGAAATCACTATGGAGAATGACCGGGAAGGGATTAGAGAAGCAATAACTTCAACATACTAGATGTGGAAGCTGAAGAAACACCAGCATAAAGAAATAGACTTTGTAGACAATCTCCTCAAAAATTACCATTAAAAAACAAAATTGTAGTCAACAGCCGAAAAAAACGAGGGAGGCCGAAACACAGACTGAATATACAGAAGTAAAGAAACAAGTGAAAAACAGTATCAAAGCTGACAGGCAGAAATATGTATAAGACTTAGCAATGACGGCGTATAAAGCTTCAAAAGAGGGAAATTTCAAGAAGTGTATAGTCCAACCAAGTAGCTGGCAAAACAGCTTCCGAATGAGGGGGAAACTAGGAAAAATGCCGGAGGTAGATAGAACACATTAAGAAGATCATCAAAGCATCTCATAAAGCAATCCTTAACTTGGAATCCTTATGACAAAAAGAAAGGAGGTAGACCAAATGACACATGGTGCCGGGAATTCAAGGCAGACATCAGAAGGATGAAGAGTACCTGGGGAGAACTAGAAAGAAGAGTCTAGGATAGAACTGCTTAATTTAGGGACGAACCAGTTAGATTTAGCATGACAGGTAGTGGATTTCGGCGCGAAATTCATTCATCTGTTTGGCTAAATAGCACTTTGACATTATAGCTGATGTCAGTTCGTGATGAAAACCTTAAATCTAATTCCCTATCCTAATCATCAACTGCAAATCATAATTCTAATTCCTAACACTTGTTTATCACCCTCATTTAGTCCTAGTTAGTAATTGGACATTCTAAAAATCAGTTTAGCGCCGCCCAAACGCCGTTCATAAATTATAGTCTTAGCGACATTGTTTGTTAACGACCTATGTCAGAAGAGAGGTGAGAAGCTGAAGCAAGCATTAATTCATCAATGTACACCAAAAGCATCACAAACGTTTATTCAAGGAAAACATCAATTTATTTGACATCACGCACCCAGATAAGCATTGGTCAATAAGAACCAATCAACATCGAGGTGCACAGAACAAGCTGTGAAACAAATATGGAGAAATTCGAACACTTCACTTCTATCTGAAGTTTGTGCTGATGATGTCGTTCAGAAGAACGATGAAAGCTCCACGACCGAACCATCCAGCTCAGAGAACAAAACTCTACCAAAAATTGGTTAAGCACACATATATCTCATCCACCTCAGGTGACTGAGATATATCACCAAAGTGATCGCATAATAAGGATCGTGTAATATTGTGAATTGAATAGAAAATAATCAGAGCGGTGAGAATGCACTAATCTTTTACGTTTCTTTAATGTTTAAGTTTTCGTATTGTTTTCCATGCAAACTATCTGTAATGCTCATTTTTCTACCATCATCAAATGCCCTGGTATGACCGAGAGTGGGGAGAGTCAGCTGTCCCTCTCCAAATGCACTCACATAACCACGTGCATAAAACCACTACCAGAGAAGTCCTACTCACTGCATTCTCGCGGCATTTTTGTTGTTTACGAAATTGAGAGGACGAAAAGCGAATATCCAGCGCTTTAACCGGGTTAGTGGACACGTAGAGTCCATCCAGGGAGAGTTCGAAAACCCTGATGCACATGGGCTCTAGGATCCTAAAGAAACATGGTGTATGAACTTATTATTGATCACCGGCTACCATGGGATTGCATCTCTTAACGTTTCATTACAGCTTTATGAATCAAACCTTTAGGTTAAATACTTGGAGTGTGGCCTCCTAAGAAAACCACCTGTTTTACTTTGGGCACCCGGGCAGTATCCTAAACCTCACACAAATTGAATGATTTATATGGGGCATATCTATGTGGTGCCTCCTCGTAACAATATTTATGTGTTTAAATAAATAATAATTGTTATATATATACTGATGTGTGGGCGAGAATGACAATGATTAGTTGTCTGCTTAGTGAGATAGGTAGATAGTCAGAGTTATATATATATATATATATATATATATATATATATATATATATCTTCCCCAATTCTTATAATTATTATTACTTATTATTGATTGATCATTGTTGTTAGGTTGTGTCATGCTTTTTTTGGTGTGAAAATATATTTACATTCTAATCAGGCTAATCGCATGTTGTTGATCATTGGAATTGTGTTCAAGTCCTGTAGAATAGACACTGAGAAAAGAATCTAGTATAGATATTCATCTAAGATAAATCAATATCTCATTCATAAATACATGTGTATACAAAGGAAAACCAATCAAGTTATAATAATTGGCAACGGGATGAAAAAACAACAACAACAACAAAATCAAGGGGGGTACAAAACCATAAGTTATAACATATACACTTTAAAATAAATAAATGAACTTAACACCATTGGATACCGGCTCAGTGTTTCAGTAGGTTAAGTGTTCGCGCGCGGGACTGAAGGCCCTGGGTTTGAATCCAGCGAGTGGTATCGTGAATGCTCACTGCTGATGAGTCCTACAATAGGACAAAACGGCTGTCCAGTGATTCCAGGTTTTTAATGGTGGTCTAACATCAATCGGTTCATGATCTCAATCAAAAAACTTAACCACCTCCACAACTACTATACTGATAATTACCATGTGCTCACTAGTGACTAGCTTCTTGAGAAAATTCTCGAAGTTCTGGTGGGAAGCCGTGACCAGTGGAGCTAATCCATGTCGAGTAGAAACAGGTGTCTACCTCAGTACAATGGAAGATGGTCGCGTAATTCCGTGGATTGGTTGAGGCTAGACATTAAAACCATTGGATGCCAGCTCAGTGGTTCAGTAGGTTAAGCGCTCGCGCACGATACTGAAGACTCTGGGTTCGAATCCCGCGAGCGGGATCGTGGATGTGCATTGCCGAGGAGTTCCGCAAGTTATAATAATTGGCAACGGGATGAGAGAAAAAAACACAACAACAACAAAATCAAGGGGGGGGTGTACAAAACCATAAATTATAACATATACACTTTAAAATCAATAAATCAACTTACAAAATCATGTTTATTATCATTCCAATTAGTTTCATAGATATTAACATTAGATCTTTTATGTAGATTATGATTAGTTGTATCTTGTTGACCAATCAATAATGTTTCCAAATTATTATTATTATTATTATTATTATTATTATTATTATTATTATTATTATTATTATTATTATTATGAATTGCATATTCATTAGCTAATAAATATCCAGTTGATTTGCGTATATATGATATTCTTTTAGTTAATAAATTAATAAATAAATTTATATTATTTTTAATATTTTTACGTAATTTATTTAATTCTTTTGTTGTTATGATAGATATTGTTGATAATTTTAATTGATTATAACATAATTGAAAACTGAATACTTCAAAATCTGTTGTTAATATTAATAAACGTGTTGGTGTATGAGGTAATTTATTATTATGATGATGATGATGAGTAGTAGTCGTAGTAGGAATAGGAGGAGGAGTATTAGTATTAGTAGTATTATCAGTAGTATTTAACCAATATTTTTTAAATTTTTTTAATTTGATACCATTACCATTTATTGAATGTAACCATATATTATTAATTGGATCAAATTTATATAAATGATCATGTCGATCTTGTATAATTAAATAATCAATTTTACCTAAACCAATAGAACCAGGACGATTAGATATCCATGATTGATAAAAATATGGTTCTGTACGATGAAGTGTTTGAGATAATAATTGACTATAGATAAGAGTTTTAAAAAGAAAAACAAAACAAAACAAAGAATGTTAAACAATTATAAGTTATCATTTTAATTTTAAAAAAATTATGCTAATAATAAAGTGTTGGGATCAATCCTAAAATACAAAACATATCACGATGGGCAAGCCCGACCACCACGTCAAGGTAGCAACAATGGTCGGGAAAACATATTACAACAAAATACCAATAATATTATCCGACCAATTATTATTACTATATGATGAATGAAGTCGTTATTTTAGTAGTTGAGATCATGAGTCAATTGAAACTAGACCACCATGAAAAACCTGGAAGCACTGAACGACCGTTTCGTCCTACTATAGGGCTCCTCAACGGTGCACATCCACGATCCCGCCTCGCAAGACTCTAACCCAGGACCTATCACTCTCGCGCTTGAACGCTTAACCTCTATACCATTGAATTGGCCGGCATCCAATGGTGTTAATATCTAACTTCAACTAATCAACGAAATTGGACGACACATTCACCATTGTCTTCAGTGAGTTACTATTTTACAACAAACCCGGTTGAACTTCAATGCTTCTAGGTTTTTTCATGGTGATCTAGCTTCAATTGACTCATGATCTGAACTACTAAAATTATTATAATATCGAAAAAACCCCTTCTGAAGTCATTATTGTTATGAAATTATAAACACTGATTAGTATTTTCCGTTTCCCTTATAGGTTGCTTAAGATTAACTATTCGTTTTATTTTTATTAAAGAAAAAGTACTATTTTATCTTTGTATATAGTTTTTACAACGGATCGGTATTACTTGAATGGTCATTAAATAGTGGGTAAGATCGGAGTATGATTAAATCAGACTAGTATGATATTATTTCATATTTTTGATTGATTATGAAGTGTGAGGAGATTATTTAAAACTACAAATAATATAAACTCCACGCCCAACCTTGGACTCTAATAGGCCTCCAGGTGATGATGATAGTGGGGATTGATCACTGGGTGGCGATCTATGTCATGCGTGTCTAGTCCTTATTAGTGCATATCGAATGCTATCGATCATGTTGCAATGTGGTCACCAGTCTAGGTGACTCGACACTGGATGACACGATATCGAATCCGCCAGGGAGCACCAGTTCCCTCAAGATTACAGGTACACCTTACTGACGAGTGCCAAGTAGCACGAAACCCGGGTCCAGGGTTTCCTGTTGACTACCTCCAACCACCATCTAATTTCTGAAGAATATTTGTTTTTGATAAGGATATAATCTTTATAAAGCATTAAACTAATGAAACAAAAACAAATGAATCAATGTCCTTGGTTCAGGTTATTTTCAACGTTTTCAATGTTCAATAAATGTATCGTATCTAACACACGGGTAATTGCTAATATATAGCCATAGGTAATTTCTAACAGAAATTTCGTTTCGAGCCTTGATTTTCACTACATAATTGTGTTTTTTTTTCATACATCATATTGGGATGATATATAACAGCATATCTATAGGATAGTTGATGATAACTCCACAGAATTGAAATGAAATTTGTAGTAAAAAAAAACATAATCTAATATACAGCACATATTCACTAAATGAATAGAAAATAGCTAGAAGTGCTGGATACAACATACTTACCGAATATTGAAAACACTGAGAATAACCTGAATTCATTGACTGTCAATGATATTTTAATATAATATATGAAATACTTTTAAAATCATAATATTGAATTTCTCATTTGATAGATACCCCCGAATGCCTTGGTACGGCTGAGAGTGGGGGGGAGTCCGCTCTCCCTCTTGAAATGCTTTCGCATGGCCATGCGTATATAGCATCTGCCAGGGAAGTCCTACTCACTGCCTTCTCGTGTCGGGGGTGTTGTCCACGAAAATGAGAATACAAAAAGCGAATGTCCGGCGCTCTAACCGGATCCCAAACCAATGGCGCACATGGGCTCCAGTATCCTGAGGGAACAAATGGCTCATAAACCAGTCGTTGATCACTGGCTACCATGGGACTGCATCTCCTTACGATGCTCCACTGTTCCACTACGGGTGTGGCCCCCTAAGAAAACCACCTGCTTCGGTTTAGACACCCGGGCAGTATCACAGCCCTCACACATATCAAATGAGATTTGTGTGGTGCATATGTATTTGATGCCTCCTTGTACCAATATCTATGTGTTAAAATAAATAATAAAAATAAATACATTTGATAGATATACACATCTATGAAGCATAACCATTTCATTATATGAGTACATATATCCCTTTTTTCCACTATAAACAATATTTTAACAAGTCAAAATATGTATTAGTCTAGTGAAAATATTAAATCAAGTACGCTTAACATAATAGAAAAGTTCTCAATGTGTAAAACAATTAAGTATTTACAATTACGTGATTAGGTGTTATGCTTAAATTTGTTTCTATATATATATATTGATTTATGTAAAGTGGTCATGGAATTCAATGTATCAGATAAACGGTAAAATACAAAAAAAAATTATTGTTTAGTTAAGCAGGGTTATTGGAAACTAATTCACATTGAAAATCATTTTCCTCATACATAGACATAAGCTAAGAAACCATTAAAAACTAAGGGGAAATAGATATTAGCTTCATCTTAGATTATTCGTACTTATTAGCAGTGTATACAAATGACTTTGTGTGGTAATAAAACTCATGACCTCTAGCTATCCAAGTAAGTATGAAACTACTGAGCCAGTGAGTAGATATCTAACAACTTATCATCGTATGTCTTTTTATTTATTTATTTAAACAAATAAACATTGGTACAAGGAGGTACCGAATAGATATGCGCCACATAAATCATTGGATTTGTGTGACAGCTGGTATATTACCCGGGTGCTCAAACCGAAGCAGGTGGTTTTCTTAAAGGGCTACACCCGGAGCCTTCGACCTAGAAGCCTGATCCACATGGTAGATTTAATAACCAGTCAATGATATTGAACAGAACCTGATAATACCTTTAGTATACATACTACAATTTTACAAACAGTGAATTGTGAAATCACTAGATCAGTAAACATTTCCATATGACACTTAAAAATTTCATAAATTTTCGCTTAGCAAAATGATAAACTTCTTATATAAGTATTAAAACAAACCATAATACATGGTGGATTTTCCGTTTATGTCAATGAATCACCAACAACATTATAAATACAATTCAAATTGGCCATTATTATACGATTTACAATTCTTAAGTTATCCCCAATCTATTGATCTTTACAGTCTTTCACAATCACAGCCACTTTTTGGCTTAATCTTGTATAATTGTTATTTTATATTTTATGGTGTGTTATGCTCTAGTTTGTTTGTATATAAACTGCGTATGTCTTATATACACAATTCATACAATGCAAGCTAAGATTGTGTTCTGAACGCAAACGTGTAGGGCTAGGCGGAAGGACTAATAAGAACTCAGAAGTTGACTCTAGGCTGCTCGCATTGGTTTGGTAGTGTCAAGGTTATATAAGTCTCTGTTCTAACTGACAGTTTAATCATGTGATATATTAACAGGCTATAAGAATATAACAAAGTGTATTTAAATTAGTACATTTTTATCCTAAAATGTTATGTTGCCTGAACTAAATATTTCAATTACAAGATATTTACATTATTCACAATTATGTACCGATAACGATGTTCCTTAAGAAGAAACATTCTCACAAATAAACTATTCAGTTTACAGAACATAACATGGATAAAATTCTTGTCCTGAGATACAAATATTCATCTATTTAAAACAATTCTGTTAATCATATTTTTTCATACCAGAAATGTAACAGGGCTCATATCATAAATTAGGTTATACATATAATTCTTGTGGAGAATAGGACTGCTCATTGTTTTAAGACTTAATTGAACAAGAATGGTTTCATTATGTTTACCTGCTTGTGTCATTTAAACTTGCCATCTTCAATGTTCGCACTAAGAAGTATATTCAAAACCATATTTTGAAAGTCAGTCATAAATTACAGTCTCGTCGTACTATAAATTAATACTTCATCTGATGATTTTATACGTTTGGTCGAAAAACGCTCGTCCAAGGAGTCTATAGTGTCGGTATCCTGCCTTACTATGCCTCAGTTTCTCGCTAAGCATCAGAGCGGAGACAGCACTGATCGACTGAATCTCTGTTAACCGTTTTTACTTGTTGTTCGGTTACAGGGACCTGTTAAAGCGAAAAGCTAGTAATTTTATTTATTTACTTAAACATGTAAATGTTATTACAAATGAGAACTAAGTTACAAACTGACTACTACTCCGTTCTTTCAAACCAGTCTCAGCGTCCGAAAATAATGCACAATGCGGAACTCTTTGGAATAATGCTCGTAACATACGCACAAGTCACAGAAGTCGATGTTTTAGAATGATAGGACCAATCGAAATATCGTCAATGTGCTTGAACATATATTGCCGAACTTCCTCATTACTCGCACAATCCTGCCACTGGATGTCGGCAATTCATTGGACATCGACGTTCAAACATAGAGTTGCCTAACATCCTACACTCGGAGAGATCAGGTTTCACAAGCATAGGTCGAAAATGTTCTAATTGATAAGTTGTAGATAAGATCTTTTAGAGCCAGATCAACATCACGGTGCCAAAGATGGACCAGATTAGCATAAGATACTCTGGCTTTCATTGCACGAAGATTAATTTTATCTATCACGTCACAACCACCAGCATTCCTACAGTTACCCAAATACACGGGCTTTGACTACTTCTAACAGATCACCACAAAGAATGATTGGCGGGATAGTGTCCTGTAAATTTTGTAGAAACACTTTGCATTTAGAGAATGAAAAGCATACGGCATGCGTACGGACATTTATTGTCAACTCATTAAGTGGGAATTGCATAGCTTGAGTGTTATCGCATAGTAAGACAACAGAATCGACATACTCAAGATTGAAAATTCTCTTTTCAAGTAGCAGAACCATACTACCAGTACCTACTTCCATCATACTCACTTCCAGGATAT